CTTGCTCACTAGCATATCTTAAGCAAATTGTAGAACAAAGTAGAAGGAAACAAAAAGAAAAACACAAGGTTTAAACAACTACTTCAATTATTATGCTATGGGTCAATTTGCAAAAATGGCAGGGTCTATTCTGGTTTTTAAACAGTATCTCTATAGCTTCTGATAAAGTGGTAACAGTGATAGAATGCATTCAAAACGCAGCCTGCCAAAATTGCCTTCTAGAATGTAATTCTGGCATATACTGTGAAATACAGACCCAACCTATTTATCTTCATGAAAGCATTAAAAGAGAAAGAGAATGGACAGAGGAGAGCATGAACTAAATACATCCTATTTATCATGCTTGCCAGTCTCAGGATCGGTATCATTAAGATACTTCCAAGGGGATTAACATTTTGCTTTTTTCTTCAGACATTTGTTTAGGGTTTGGGGGGAGTGAATAAAAAAGCAAAAAAATCGGCCAAAACAAACAAACAAAACAACAAAAAAATGAGCACAACAGAAACAACTGTGCAAATCATTGTGCTCGTACGAGATGTTTCACTAAGACAAAGTTGCACAACTGTGAATTTTGGTTTGCTCACACCTAAAGTGCAGAGGAGCTGAAGGCCAACTCTGCCCTGAGCACGGCTTTGGATGAAAACCGCTGCTATTCACTGCACAACTGAGACAAATGGGCTTTTCAGGGCTCTGCACACCTCTGAAAGACCATGAACTACTTCTGTAGTGTAATAAGCACAAAATATTTTCCATAAAAACAAGTCTGCTGTAGGACTACGTTTGTTTTAAAACAAGAGCTGTGAATTTCCATAAGACCATTTTAGGCAATCACAAATTGAGAAATAATGAAAATGATTGTGCTGAAATCTAAGAAAATTTAAGTCTAAGACACAAAATTAACTTGTGTTAATTAATCCCACCTGAATTCCTCAAGTACCCCACATGAACTAAATAATTAACTCAAAGGTCATCATATTCAAATTTGCATTTTAAAGGAAGACATACAACACAAAAGCTCAGTTTGAAGTGAGAACTCAGAACCTATAAATTCCCAACAACTTAAGCTAATTCTCCACTCAAGCTGTGACAATTTTTACCATTGCTTCATATTTTAATACACTAAATATTAGAAGCATCAGATTTTAAAAGCGTCAGCTCAATGTGTGATTACATGATATTCCCAGCTTCCATTATAAACAGAAGTCTAAATTTTTAAAGTTGCCAAGAGGTGAAAGTCAGATTTCCATGAGCACCAGGTACTTAATTTTCAACGATTCAAAAACAGTAGATTTTTTTTGAAGTTTTATTCTGTAGTGAGGGGTACTAGAACTAGGAATTCACAGTGATTTAAAGTTGCTAATGTGTTCCAGAATAAGCTTATGAGAACAGAAGACTAAAGAAAACAAAGACAAGCAACTTCGCTAAAATATAAGCAAGATGACTAAAGTACAGTATTTAATTTATGTTCAGGAACACAAAGCAGATTGTAGGCACTCCAGCTCTCTTTTCAGTGGTTCAGAATTAGTGCTTCTGTATACCTAATTTGAAACTTGATGCCCAGGTCAGAAGTCTGTCTCTGACCAAGAATGTTGAGCGCTAGTCTGAAAGATCTGTAAATCCCTACATATGCATTCTCCAAAATCAGGCTTCTTAAAGAGACAGCATATTGGCACATATGGCTCTGAAGGCATCTAAAATTACTGGTTCCCTGAAAATAGATTTTCTATGCTTGTCTTCACATGTCACCTACTCATCTTAAAGATATTGCATCTTTTATGAGTTTAGCCATGTCTTTGTATTTTAGATTGTCATGATTCTTACAGCCACAACTGGTATTATGCACTGTCATCTTCAGTACTTCATTATAAGATGTTGGTCAGCCACGTTTCCAGAGAGAAGGCACGTGTCAGAAGATTTTAAATTACCTTTAAGGACAACTGTCAAGAATAAGAATGAAAGCAGCATGCTTGTTTCTCTACAGGTGGAGAAAGTTCCCATTACAATTCTACTGAAATCTAGACCATGATGAGTACTGGGGTATTCTGGTTTCTTTATTATAGACAAAAAGAATAAATACTGTGACCATTAATGACTAAAAATTTTTTTTAACCAAACCAAATAAAGAATCAGGAATTCCAAGCATTTCCTTTTTGCTGAACATGGTATGCCTCTTCTTTCTTTAAATTTAAGAAAATTTTATTGAGGAAAAAAGTATTAATCTTTGCTTTATTTTAAATAACTGACTTGCAAATGTTAAAGAAATAACAAAATTAGAAGAGGAAAAAACCAATATTACTTTGTAGATGCATGCAGATGAATAAGTACACCACAAAACACACATTTGGCATTTTCTGTGCTCAGTTCACCATATAGGAGCATTTCAGAAAGTCCTATTTACAGTTTTTAATTCTAGACTTCAGTTGCATCATGTTATACCCTAGCTAGCCTGTATATGCCATTGAATAATGTGATATTGCTGTTTTGTTTTTGTAAACCAAAGAAAAGAAAATTGAATGCTGCTAACAAGCACTGATGATAAAAGTTTTATGTGATTTCCTTGGAAAGGAAATTGTGTGTACATCGTGGAGGTACTACTCCTGTGTAGTCTGTGGCTAAATAACTCAGAATCAGAGAGTCACAGACTACGTAAATTTGGAAAGGACATCCAGAGATCACCTGGTCCAACCCTTCTGCTCAAAGCAGAGTCAAATAGATCAGATTGCCCAGGGCTATGTCCAGTCAAATTCTGATTATATCCAAGGACACAGACTTTACAATCTCTCTGTGAAACCTATTCCAGTATTTTAACACCATCACAGTGAAAAAGCCTTTTGTTTGGGTGGAATTTTTTGTATTTCAGTTTGTGCCCACTGCTTCTATTCCTGTCAATTAAAAGAGTTAAATTTCCATTTCCTTATTTCCCACATCAAACACTCTCCACTCCGACCCATCAGGTATTTAAACACATTGAATAGATTCTCCCTGAGCCTTCCCTTTTCTCTAGGCTAGGCAATGTCAGCTTTCACAGCCTTTCCTCAGATGATAGATGCCCCAGTTTTTTTATCATCTCCGTGGCCCTTCACTGGACTCATTTCAGTATGTCCACGTGTCGCTTGTACCGTGGAGCCCAGAACAGGACACAGCACTCCAGAAATGGCCTCACCAATACTGAATGGAAGTGCATGAGATAATCAATTTCCAGGTGTAGGACTTTGCATTTCCCTTTGTTGAACTGCACAAGTTTCTGTTGGTCCATTTCTCCATCCTGTCAAGATCCTCTGAATAACAACAGGACCATCTCATGTATCAACCGCTCCTCTAAATTTAGGGTGCACTCTTTCTTATTGTCTGTCAGTAGTAAAGATGTTAAATAGTACTGGGGGACACCACTAGTGACTGGGCTTCAGCAAGGTTTCAAGCCTCTGATTGCAGTCCTTTCAGCCCAGCAATTCAGGCACTTTCAGTTCTCCTCATTGTCTACTTATCCAATCTTCATTTGCTCCATTTGTCTGGGAGAATGTTATATGAGACTGTTAAAAGCTTTGTTACAGCCAAAATAAACAATATTCATAGTTCTGAATGTCTCAGATTTCCATGATCTTTCAAAGATGAATAACATCGGCCTCCTAATGGCATGGGTCAGCTTCCCCAGGTCTTTGCAAGTGCATCCCCATCAGACACCATGCACATGTGCACATCCCATTTGTTGAGATATTTGCTAACGTGATCCTCATCTACCAGGGATAAGTCTTCACTGCTCCAGGCTTTACCACAGGTCTCAGGGGCCTGGAATTCTTGAGGTAAAATCTTACCTGTAAACTGAGGTGAAAACAATGTTGTGTAACAGCTTTTTTCATGTTCTGTGTCACCAGGTCACTGCAGTAGTGAGCCCCACTTTCCCTCTTCTGCCTTTTGTTGCTGAGATACCTGTAGAAAACCCTGCTATTTCCCTTTGTGTCCCTTGGCAGATTCAACTCCAGATGGGCACTGGCTTTCCTGATACCATTCCTGCACACTTGGACAGCATCTCTATCATCCACCTGGGTCACTTGATCCTACTTTCACCTCTTAGTGTATTAGTTCTTTATATAACTTGAACAAAACACCTTTCAAATTATGACAAACAGATTTCCTTTAGAGAGTTGTCCACATCCCCTGTCAAAGCTGAGCTGCTGTGCAGCCAAGACCCCGGAGGCAAGTGAAGATGCAGCAGACTAGGATGAGCCTAAGTGGATCTAAGGAGTAAGTGCTTGACTGGCAGGGGGCAGGACTGGGCTCCTATAGCACCAAATTCAAGCACACCACATGATCTGAAGAGAAATTCGGAGGTAGAAAGGGAAGAGGGGAGGTAGTAGGTCCTGTAGAGTGACACAAAAATCAGATGTTGCATTGTAAGCATGAAATGGCACAAATTACATCGTGCCATTTCTCATACATTATCAAAACTGACATTGAATTTCAGTTTCATTAGAAAATGTTACTACTCCCAGAGGCCTATTAGCTGACAGAGTAATAGGGTTGGAAAGATTTAAAGAAGCACGAAATATTTTGATAGAGAGACAAAAGAATAATCTATGGCATCAGAATGAACCTAATGATACTAAAAAGGGAGGAGCAACTAAAAGGACAGAAAAAACAACTTAAAGTGGCTGGTTAGCAAGCAGCAAAAAAGAAAAACTGGATATGTTTTTAAATAAAAAAGTGTAAGTCGATTCTCAAGTGAGTATAAACTGACATAATTCCATTAATATTGCTCAGTTAACAGTTTTGTTGCACAAACTAAGTTCCCTGCTTGAAATTGATGCTGTAGGCTGGTCCTCACAGAGAGGAAAACACACCTTAACTGAACTTTTATCCATGGAAGGGTTTCAGGCTCAGACACAGTATAAAGGACCTTGGGTTTTTTTGAAGCAGCTATGTTCAGTTTTCTAATCAGAAGTTTCTATTTTTGGATTCTAACTTTTACAGTACTGTCCCATTCCTCTACAATGAACACTTACCTTCTTTAGCTCTTCCTGAATACTTCTGCCATTTTCCTCTGAGGACAAACTCTCCTTCTGGTTTTCAGGATCCATTCCAGGTTCTGACTCTTGTTCTTCACCAGAAGATGTTTCCTTGTCACTCATTTTAGCAGCAAGCTGAAATAACCTGGATTTAAGCTCCTCCTCCATAAGGTCAGGCTTGATATTATGGTGCTGATCTTCATTGCTTATATCTGTCTCTGATAAATCATCAAAATCCTACAAAGAAATTAGAAGAACCATATAATTCCTGCATAGGCACAGAAAGAAAAAACAGCTTCCTAGGAAATTATGGGTAAGATCACCCTGCAGGGAAGCTAGACAGAGAGCACACTAAGTGTTCTGATAAAAAAAGGAATGACAGTAAACCAACACTTGTTGGATTATATTTATCATTCCTGCTTGTTTTCATATTCCCTAAAAAGGAACTATGAAAATCATTATGTATCTGTGTGCAACTAATAAAATACGTCGAAGTGGCATTTCCCATTCCCAGCACTGCCATCACTCTCAGGTGTGGTGCAGGTAAAGTGAGTTGTGGGAATTAAATAACCTGTGACCTCGCAGTTACGTTCAGCTTTCTGTTGAAAGCTGTGCTCACATTCCCTGACTGCTTGGTCTTGAGCTTTATCTGTGTTCTTCCTAAAGATGACTGGAAACAAGTTTGAAAAAATCTCTCTTTTATTACATGACGGTGCTTAAGATTGTCAGTTTTCCCAGTGATTATTTGCATAGGTGGATCCTCTACAGAGACAACTGTTTTCCAAATGCCAACTTCCTTGGAACAAGTTCAATCTTCAGGAGCACTTTCTTTTCTGACTCTTGGATCCTTAAATGTGGGAAACACTTAGAGGGTCAGTCACGTACAGTGGGTGTTACAGACTTGATCACAAGTCCCTTACTTTGGAGGTTGAAGAGAAGTAAAGCAAAATCTTTTTGTAAATCTGCTTAGCAGGGTGCCTGCCCAGCATTTAATAATGTGGAAAGGGCGGGGTAGTTTCGTCAGCGCTTGCAGAAGATCTGAGAATATCTCTTAGTTGTTCTGAAAACTAATGCCCAGGTACACGCTAATTCATTGTGTGGATCTGGGCTGTCTGATAAGGACCCAATTTGGCCTGATTTTCACTACCGTTCCTGGAGAGAGACAGGCATCTCCCAGAGCAACTTGTTCCACCTGTAGTGGTTAAATGCCTTCTGGAAATGTTCTCTCTCTGCTGACTGCTAAGGGAAAGTTTTGAACCGTTAGATAGTTTGTTCAGTGTTTCAGCCAAGTCCATAAAGTAAGATGGAATTAGGTGGTTTTAAAAATGATGAATTCTTTGAAATGGAGCATAATCGTGCAGAACCATCCAGAAGAAGGCTGTGAAGAATTCAGCCCGGCACCAGAGTGGTAGGCACATCTCAGCGGGTCTAAAGGGATGATTTGAAGCAATTCTCAGACAGCAAATTATTCGTATTTGCTTTACGCTTTCATACTGTGACAGGATCAGACACTGCTGAAGAGACTAAAAGCTGTGTTCTCTCTACCATTCATTTGGAAATACATAAATAGGAGATTTGCTTTGCACAGCTACTCTCTCTGCAGCTATAGCAGCACTGTTTATGGATGATCCAATTACCTCCAGTTCTCACAGGAAATGTTAACCCTGCCAACTCCCTCACAAACCCTACTTGCCAAAGTGCTTTTAATGGATTGACATTTTGTGTTCATAATGTCAGTTCTCCTCTCTCACACAGTACACTGTACTGTAGTGTCAAGCACTTTCACAGTTTTCTGGACAATTTTTGTCTGCAATTATTTGCAATTCAATCAATTACGCAACTAAGTTATTGCTTTATAGTTCACCTTCAGGATGCAGAAGGCCCTTCTAGAAAATCAGGATTTGAAAGAAAAATAGAAATTTGAAAACTACAATAGTAGTGGAACCATGAGTTTGTGCTGAAATTCTTTTTCCAAACAATCAGCTTTTGCAGAATAAAAAGCTTTTTCTGCCAAATGAACATTGAAGCTGTTCAATGATCAAGAATAAGATCTCAAATCAGTGTTTTTCCACGTTAGTTTTATAATACGATATGCTTTTATATACATGTAGAAAAGTGGTGCATTTCACAGTTTTTATTAAAAATCTGTATTTATCATAACAGTGCTTCCTCAAGTTGTAAGTAGAGATGGGTTTTTTCAGACATATCTTGCATGCTATTCAACAACTCATTACAACTCACAAATACACGTATAAAATCTAGTGGAGCAGTGAGGGAGGCTGGCAGTCCAGAGAGGGAGATTTTTCCACATTTCCTCCTCCCTGCTGTACCATGACGTACTGACAGACTTCATCGTGCAGCAAGACATGCGTGATTCCTCTGGGGGCTTCCTACACAGGTCTGCTTAGCTTTAATTTTTTAGCAGCTTTATTGGAGTAGCAATGCACACATACCTCCATGGGAAGCACCACTACTTAATTTAAAGAATCCACATTAACAACAGCAGAAAGACAATGTCTCTTGATCCTGAAAATATACCAGTTTTCATAGGATCACACATAGCAGAACCTTTTGGGTTGATCTCTACCACCTCTATACAAAGCTCAGCAAAATCCTGTAAAGCCTTGCAGCTCATTTCCCATATATTTTGGAGGAAGGCATGGCAGGACAACATTGTCAAATTGCTCAGATTGAGGAGGATAAAAAAATTGAGGTAGTTTTATGAAACAAGGTGAGTGAATGTAACAAGCTAGTGCTACTGAAATAGTCATCCTGAAGCCTCCTCCCCTTTACTTGGTTGAAAGGTGTTGTGCAGGCTTGGCAAAGGGGTCCAAATGTGTGCTAAATCTGACAAGGGAGAGAGTGGACTACACTGGAGGCAGATGGAGGGAAGGCAGGAAGGCAAACAGGACGGAGGTATTCCTCTTTTGGCAACAGCAATCTGCAATGTTACCTTAGCCACACGTCACACCATTACAGAAACAATACAAATACTAGCTTGTGCTTCAACGCATATACAATTTTTTCCTAATTTTCTGGGAAACTTAGAGAGCTTTTTGCTACATCTGCCAGCACAGGTAAGAGTCACAAGCTGCCTTGGCAACCCAGAGGTCTCATTCCACATCGGCTAAATTTGTGTTTTGAATTACACATAATTTCTTGGGAGAGGACTCACCTTGAGAGTATTGATTATATTACAGCTGGATTCAGGCACATGCAGAGATAATGATATCTTATACTGCTACACTTTGTGGTTTCTGTTACTGTAGGCTACTTGATTTGTGTGTTGGGCTTTTCAGATAGTAGCAGTGAACTATTTGTGAGGAGATTATACATCTTTCATGGACTGACATTAAAAAATGCATTAGAAACCATGACAATAATAAAAAATAAATAAATTGAAAGGTACTCCTATTATTATTTATTTAATAGATACTGCCTTAAACTTCATTATTCTCTACTGTTCACATTTTCACTCCTTCTGTTACGTTTAATGACATCTTTGTGTCATTACACAAATCATCGTCTAAATTCCCATTTGCATTTATCAGCAACATATAATATTAATGTCTGCAAACAAGAATAAAGGGCTATCATTTTATCTGAAAACTGAGCTTTAGTGAGGGCCTGGCAGACTGACACAGCCACGAACCCAGTCTTACTAAAAGAAAACCAAGTGTCTCTATGCAAGCATAAGTCCTTCAGCAGACAATGAAGAAGCAAATACACTTCTCCTCATACACACTGTCCAAATCCTTGTATGGAAATTACTCATGACTCAGTGTAATCATAGTGAACAACAATAACAAAAAAAGGCCCCAAAATAAAGCAAGCAAGCAAAGTAGTGATTTGGAGGCTCCAGAACCAAATCCTGTTAAACTATAAACTCCTGACGGAAAGTTCCCTTCCTACAGGAAACCAAAAATCAGAGACTACAATTTTTAGGAGAATACACGAATTGTGAGGTTTGCAGACAGTTTCTTTGTGGTAAGAGCCAGTGTGATTTTAGGGCAGGTATTTTCAATAAATACATCCCAAGCGCCATCCCGTGGGGACCGGCAGTCTGACAGTGCTCACCCCTCACCTGGCGGCAGGGCAGGAGGACTGTAATTAACAGGTGGGGTCTCCTGATCAAAGAAGCAAACTCATAACGAGGACACTTCTTTCACTCCAAGCAATTAAGCCACTCCACTTTCCATCAGAAATATAAGAACTGCAGGTACATTAAGCAGCATATCCTCCTCTCAAAAAGATAAAGAAAACCAATATCGCAATATTATTATTACTAATAATATCAACTATTAATATAACTATTAATATTAAAAACAGACGAGGATTAGTGGTTTGAGTGTACAAAAAGTTACAATTTGAAAAATAATCATTATTAAAAGCAAGGCTGCACTTCCCAGTACAGTTTCCACAGGAACATAAGTCTTCTGTGGTACATAAGCAATCAGGTTGTCAGAAAATTATTATAGTAGGACCTTGGTTTTATCAGGACGGTTTTCACATCTTGCTTCATGACTATGTTTACAGCATCTCTACATGCAACTCGGTAAAGTAGCTTGTTCTTTTACCTATTATTAAGTGGCAGATACTCAGATACAGTACATTTTGGTATTTTTTCTCAGGTTTCCCTTATTAAGTCACTGAAGACTTTATAAAAAATTCTTTCTCAGTCACATAGTCAGCATTCCATTGTTGAGTCTAAAATATATTTTAAAAAACATGCCACAGCATTATACTAATCTAGGTACTGGATCTTGATTAAAAAATACCTGATTTTAAATTGAAATTCAGTTGTGAGTTATGAACTGACTGCAGTTGTTCCAGAACTTAACTGCTTACAATTCTCTAGACTTGGAGCAGAGAGGAGAAAGGGCCCATTTTCATTGCACTGAGAGTCTTGGAGAGCAGCAAACAAGAAAGTAACCTTCACAATTTGAAAATTAAAAAAGAAACCCCAACTTCTAGACTGCTAAACTGAAATCCTGTTCTACAATGCTGATGAAAACATAACGGTTAACGAATTATCATCTTATTAATACAATGCAGTAAAATACTATTAAAATATTATTAAATTATTAATATTACCAATATATTATTAAATTACTAATATTACTGAAAGGTTATTATTGCAATGCAGTAAAGTACTGAAAAAGTATGTTACTATACCTCAATTTACATATAATCAGTTGCTCAGTGTCTAATATCTAGGTGCAACATGCTTTAGAACAGTTTGTATGGTCTCTGCAAATTCTGTATCAGCTCGTCATGTGAAAATCTATGTCTGGTTTAAGATGGCACAGTGAATCTTCTTTAAGTCTATGCTGTTTGCAGTTCTTCACGCACCTACACTGTAATTTTGTACAAACTGTTCACATGTAGGGCTCTCCCTGCTGCAGCCTCAATCATTTTACCAAGATCAATACATTACTTTGGGGAATATATGAAACCCTGACATCCCTTTAATCTCATTTTTCTAAGCAATATAAATGATGTCTGGGTAATTCATTTTGATACCTTAAATCATATTCCTTACACTCGTGATCATTTTAATTGCTTCCTAGAATTATTCAACCATGCAACATCCTTGCTATAAATTGTGGTATTCAGTCCTGTTCCCAGCAGTGTTTGTGTACCAGAGGTTGGAGTAACAGTTCTACAAATGTGAGCACTGGCTGTCCAATCAGCCACCTGGAGGGGTGTGCGTCCCCCCAAATACAAACTAAATGCATGCAAACCCACCCATACATAAACTTCCTAGTGAGAACTTCATTGCTTTGAAAGCACTGGTGTGATCTGGAGGCAGTGTGCCCCTGCTTGCCCCACTGTGGCTGAGGGAACAGGAACAGCCTCTTTCAGCCTAAAGGGTAAAATGAAGGGGAGAGCTCCAAATCTTGTGTTTTGAACACAACAGAGAGGTTATAAGAGGCAAAGCAATGCACAAAAGACTTGGAAAGAAGAATAATTTTCTGCACCAGCTTGTACTTTGAAGAACACACTATGCGGCTGAAGGATGCCATCACATATAACTGGAAGCACCCTGCCTTTCTGACCTCCCCAGTATGAATGTTGGGCAGGTTTAGATTGGACATTAGGAAAAATTTCATCACAGAAAGAATTATCTAGCACTGGAACAGGCTGCCCAGGGAACTGGTTGATTCACCATCCCTGTAAGTATTTAAAAGATGTGTAGTCGTGGCACATGGTCTAGTGGTGGACCCTGCAGTGCTGGGTTAACAGCTGGACCTCATGGTCTTAAAAGTCTTTCCGATCTAAATGATTCTATGATTCTATAATGTCTCCAGGACCTTCTCTGTGAGCTCAAATCTTCTATGCTCTGCAGAGCATTAGTACCCAGAAAGCCACAATATGAATACAGACACACATAGAATGTGCATAAATACACAAAACCAGAAAGGGAAATGCAGAAGTTTGTATAAAAGATATGGTCTTTGTGCAGTCCCTGGAAAGTCTTGTAATTCTGCCTGATGTTCTAAGAAGTCATTAATGGCCACTGATGTGCTGTCAGAGCACATTATCATACATAACTCCCCTTCAACAACTGTTGATTGTAAATATATGAGGACGTGTATAAATGAATCAGCACCCCAAACACCCACACCTCTGTCCTAAAAGCAGATGGAATAGATACAGAATTAACAATACTTTACCCAGCAGTAATGCCCTGCTGAAATCCTAGAATCCTAATCTCGATTTACAATCAGCTATACTGATGTCTTTCTACAGGAAATACAGGCTAGTAGCATAAGCAAAGAAAAAGATATTCCAGGCATCCTAAATTTGTTCAGATAGCTTTAAGACTGCATCAGGTTGCTTGTTGTCAGAGCCATAGAGAGAAGATGGCCCTCAGCTTCTTGCATCAGGCTTACCGTTACTCTGCTGCAGCGATGATGCAGCTGCTAAAAAAATTTTGGGGGACAACCACATCCCTTACTTAGTATCAGTCCCAGGCCTGGACAAACTCCAAAAAGAGAAGACTTTTTGGCTTTCTGGTTATCCAACACTTGTTTAAAAGAAATGTTTGAGAAGTTTGCTGTCTTTAAGTTGTATGATCAGTTTTTCCAAATTTGAGCTACTACTTTCTGCGGGGTTTTGCTTGTTTGTTTGGTTTTTGTTTGTTTTGTTAATCAATTGACAAAATATTTAAAGTGAGGTAGTTTGCAAACACTCACCCTAACATGTGAGAACTCGTCATAAGGTGACCAATTAAAAGCAGACATCACTTGGACTGTATTTCACAAAAAGCCCTTTCTGAATTTCTGCTTCTCATTAGCTTTATCCCTTATCAGGACATTTTCAAACACTGCACAGCAGATTCCCAGGCATATGTGTTATTTCTTATTCCAAGAACAAAGGAGTTAAAAAACCCCAAACAAACAGCACAACAAAACAGGTGATTAATTAACATTTTTTAGCTGTTGACAAATCCTGTCTTTTTTTTCTTTTTTTTTAGGAGCACTGTATTTTACAGCATTAACAATGTCTTTGATCAGATGAAAGTGGCATATTTGAGAAAGAGGCAAAGCCTGCTCATGATATATGTAACACTTCACCTTTGCTTCTTTTCATTTAGGAAGCATGAGGAAGATTAAGCTTACAAGAATGCTCCACCTCCCATTCAAGATTCACATGTTATTGCCAGCATAGTTTAATTAGTTTAGCTCTTTTTGAGAGTGCATTTGCTAAGCTCAGACACAATTACCTGACTTATATTCATCTTGCTGGTTTTTGCCTGATTCTTGTCTTCACATAATTCTTCAGAGGTTGCTTTGTTCTTCCTCCACCTTCTTGATCTCTTTTCTAAATCATAATGGACTTCTTCAGTCTCACTGCTGTCTGAATACTCTAAGCTAGTTGCCTGTGGATTAAAATTTACATCCAGTTCTCCATGGAAATGTTTCTTTTCCATTCTGGGCATATCACTTTGAGTTCTGCTTTGCAACCAGAGAAGTTTGCTAGGTCCTTTAGCTTCCTGGGAAGAGTTTACTGAAGATGTTTCTGAATCAGAGAACTGTGTCTCAGTATTGGTGTATAACCCAGAGGAAGGGGAGGTCACTGCCTGGTACTGATCATTGCCATAAACCCATTTGGTACCGTACTGGGAATTGGTATAATAGAAATCGTCTGGTAATTGTCGAGGTCTCCTACGCAGCTTGTTCAAGGCCACATTCCAGTCGTAGTCATCCTCACTGTCTGAGCCCATCTCGTCATAGGCAGACACAACATTGGACTCATTCTCCAAAGCTCTGAATACCTGACTCTTTGGTTTGGCAAGCATTCGAGGACGAGGCAAAGCGACATTCTGCAAGGCTACCCAGTTTCCATCAGTGCTTTGCAAAACAGAAGGTGGACCTATGAAAATGAAACAAGAACAACTGTGATCACTCTGTGAAAGGCTCATTTTACATGACACAAGTTGGAGGATTCAACAAAGCTAACAAACAAATGCAAGTATTGCTGCTACATGAACTCTTCCATGCTGAGAGCCGTGATGCTGTACTACTCAGAAGCCACCACTTAAAGTCATGGCGATGACTATTTAAAATGTGAGAGTACTTGGGCCAAATCTTTTTTTCTAAAAGAATTATTAGGAAAGGCTGACGGAACATCAGTACACAGACATGTATAAATCCTGAGTTTTACAAATGTCTTTGATTCTGTGTGCAGTTCTGGTCCCCCAACTCGAAAAGGAAAGATGGAAAAAGGATCAGAGAAAAGCAGATTCTGAAACAGTGTCCATTCAAGGAATGATTAAGTAAGCCAGAGCTCTGTCATCTGGAGAAGAGAAGGGTGAGAGGATACAGGCTAAAAGAGATGGGGGAATCTCTTCCAACCTAACTACTAGAGGACATGAAGTGAAGCTAGAGAAATCAAGGATCTAAACCAACAAAATAAAGAAGTGGGATGCAATGGATACCAGACCTATGGAGCTTCCTGCCTAACTTGTTATGGATGCTAGAAATTATTTGGGATAAAACAGAGATGGCTATGGACATGGAAGAGATATCCACTGACATTTACTAAATATAGAAAAACACTTCTAGGTAAGTTGAAAATTCTAGAGGTTCAGAGCCTACTCAGAGGCAGCATGAAAAATATGTGCTTTGTCCTAATCTTTCCTAGACTCTTGCTTATGGCTACCATTGCTGCTGTTGTTGTACCTTAGACTAAATACTAAATAGCTTTCTGTCTGACACGAGCATTGCTACTCTTGTATTCTTACACTTTTTCAGAGTCTGTGGTACAACTTCAGAAAAAAAAGTCACAAATATGGTGAAAAAGTGCTGTATAACTCATATAACTCAGAGAATCTAATTTTTTCTAAATTTAGATTCCATTTCTAATCAAACTTGAAAATTCCCCTCTTGGGAAATATAAATGTGTGATGACTATGTTCTGCAGCAGTTTAATAAATATATAGTGCCACAGATTTACACAGTAATCTCAGCCTACTGAATGAACTTTTCAGACTTATGGATTCCTCCCATGGGTTTGAATTTACCATTTCCAGAAAATTATAGAAACTCTTAATATAAACATTAGTTTTCTCAAACTGTGAACAGAACATCATTATTTTAAAATGGACAAAGTAATATCTGGATCTGTTGTAGATGATAATTAAGAATTTTGCATTAGATGATTACAAATACTTGGATGGTAAGACTATTTTTTTCCTGGTATTTTTCATAAAGTACACCACTATGCAGTAAGAAGGTGTGCTTGGTTAAAAAAAAAACAGTCTGAGCTGCACTACCACCACCAAAACAACCCCCCAAAAATAAAACAAAAATTAAATGGTAATTAAACTTGCGAGCTATGCAAGATAAAGAAAAAATTTTGCATTTTTTACTCATTTGAATCCTTTTGGTTTGTTTTCACTTCCTAAGTTTCATGTCAATTCAGAAAACTTGAGAAAATACATCACTGAAGTAATTTTTACTCCTGTCTAAAAGGAAATTAAATAATACTAGTTTTCTTGTAGCAGTGACCAGCTGAGGATATAACTGAAGTCAGATTTGTAGGGAGAACTAATAACTGTTCATTGTAACCCCTGATTGTGGAGAAAAAGAAAGAATACAAGCTATCAAGCATAAGAAACTTCTGCTTGTTCAGTCTTTCCAACTGTGCTCACTTATCTTAGTACAGGATTATCTTGAGAGAAAGAAGACCTTTCCTTAAAAACATTGTTCCTTCAAACAAAATATAAATCTCCAACAGGAATTGAATTCAGCTGCACATTATACAAATGTAAGAGAGTGCCACGTACTTTTTTTCTCCCCCAAACCGTATCCCCTTATTTTGTTTAACAACAACACAGGAGAATCAGTCAAACAATCTCCATTAACTAAAGAAAGGACAGGGTAGTAGCTGATTACATCTTAGGGGGCAAGCAGGGTAGAAAGCCACTGAGAACTCTATATTCAGAAGGCTGACTCAGTTTTATCCCAGCATTGTCAAGTGCTCCCTTACTGATTTTTCAAAACAAAGTCACTTGCTCGAAAGAATCAATTTTGCACACAATTCTTTGGGCATAAGCTATAATTCATCCATGTGAAAATGAAAAAAGATTTAAGAAGTTTCATTGTAAAACTATTGATAAAAGGGAAAAACCCCCACAAAGTCATGATTTGGCTCTTGAGTCATCACTTAAACCAATACAACTGTAATCAAAACGAATTGTGAACTGCTTTTTGGCTACATGACTAAAAATCCCATTGATGTTACCACTTCAAACTCTTAGTTGAGATTTCTTTGGTTTTCTGAATCCTAATACAGAGCTGCTTATTACTGCATAGGTGAGACCATATTTACACATATTAGCACAATCAGCTATTTTCTGTAAGCTCAATAGGCACCACAATTTCATCACAAATGTGGTTTTTACATGAAAGAAGCAGAACAAATCCTCTGAGTAGAGCACCTGAAAAGAAACTGTGTCAATTTGTCATTCTGCTGTGGTTAAGCAACTGTTAAGTACTAAATTGCTCAACAGTTGAATTCAATGGGATTGAAGTGGGTTCTTAAATTTAAGCACCAAATTAACTGCTTTACTGAAAATAGGCCTTCCACTAAAATGCCCAGGAGAACAAGGCTTCTGACAGGGGGTTGAATGAGCAGTTCACAAAGTGATGCATATTTAGTTACGTCAGATTTTAATACTACTTTACTAAAAATTTCCTTCTGGGGGGAAGGAGGGGTATTGAAACTGTCTAAATGTCAGTATCCCAAGTTATCTACTGGCATAACAGATAAATAAATTGAATGGATGGGTAGTCCCCATGCCTGGTCTCCACTAAACCCAAACACATATTTTGGCTGCTTCTGCTTGCCAGCCCCTAGTGAGCCAGCTGTGGGGGTCACAGCACCAGTAAACACCCTATGAAAGAGAAGTTTTCCGCCTGTGTAGCTTGCCACAGGGGTCAGATAGGTTCTACAGCTGTTAGAAGAGAAGAAGCAGGAACAAACAGACTCTGTCATGGGAGGACAGCACCTGGAGCCAGGGAATGCTGCTACAGTGAGCAGTTCAGCTCTTCCCCTTGTGCAGCTGTAGGGTGAAAACTAACCAACTCTTCTGTGCACCTGTTGCCTGGTGCTGCCCTCCTGTCCTTATGTCATCTTGAAGTAAGCAGGGAATTGCATTCTATCCCAGGGTGCTGCTTCAGGAATGGGGCTGACTTGGAAAGCTGCTCATGATCCATCATCCGTATTTACATCCATACCTAACACATGATGACAGAGGACAGATCTAGGGAAACTGTTGGTCTGTGAAGTTCCTATTCACATAGCTTCCTCAAACTCATATAGAAGCATCAGTTAGTAGGGCTGCACATTTGTGAATTCATCAGGGTTGAAAATAAAGTTGCAAGGGGGAATTCTAAATGTGAATTATTTCAATGCTTGGTTCACCGTGTAACCTCATGAACAGTTACCCTGTGCAAACAGAAGGGACACTGTGGACAGCTGCAAACTCCTTCAACTGGAGGACAGATTACAAAGAAGGGTCCTTGGACTCTTGTCTTAGAAGCTCTGAAATGTATCCAAACTGGTTGCCTAATTTTTGCGACAATCCAAAATCAACTCCATAAAGGCCTAAATTTTTAATCCTTCTTTTAGATAATAAAGGTAAGATAAGCAATGACACAGCTCAATGAAATAGTGACACAGCATCATCAAATATACATTTTGCATGTGACTTCTGAAAGCACAGAGGTCAGCAGAAATGCCCTGGAGAAGGTCCTTGCTTTAAGTTGTATTTATTCCACATGTGAGTGAGAACTAAAAAAAAGAATCTTATTCGTACTAGAAATATTTACTTGTTTCATTTAGCCTGTCCACACTCTTCCAGCTGGGTAATGGAGAAAGTTTGTGTTCCTTCTGCTTCCTGGACTGCCCTTTTTGCTGCCTTGAAGAGCCTCGGTCACAGATGATGCAGAGTCTTGTCCTTTACTGGTCGTATCTTCACTAGCCAGGGAGAATGCAGACTGAGACCTCTGTGGGATTAAAAATCAAAGAGTATAATTTAAAAATAGAAATACTTAATTATCCAACTCTTTACCGTAATCAATATTCAGTTACCCAGGGAAGTGTGGGATCTGCTAGCATCACAAATGGAATTTAATGTATTCAGAAGAATTGTTTCAGCATTAGATTGCTTATTTATGTGCATTTCTGATGCTATGCAAGGAGGCAGGAAATTTTTTATACTCTCACGGGCCAAATGGAAAGAAATAATTGAGGTGAAGTTCTTGGGAATGTGCTTGGTGAGGACTGATATCTAACTGCTGTGACTCAAGTTAGTCAAAAGGGATCTCACTGTGGTGAGACATGATGATGTATTGTTGGCTTAACAGGCCATCTGGTGTAACAATTTGCAGAAGTTAAAAATTAAAAAAAGCAAACAAACAGCCTGTTCCTCAGAAATAGATATGCAAGTCAAATGATTTAGAATTCTATTTGCTAGGACATACATATCACCCAATATGCTGAGCAGTTTTATGCAGTCTTACTAATGAAGTCAACATAGCCTACAGTTGCACATCTATTTATTTCTAGGAGGGTCACATTTCAAGTGAAAATAAGGTAAAATACTGTTGTGATTGTTGATCAGCCCTGACTACTATTGAGGGGAAGGGACTTTCCTTTTATTTCACATAAATAGACCAGACATTTTAGTTTTGACTTAAGCACAGAGGTAAGCAACAGAAGACATTTAAATTTGGCCATTTTAAAAAGCTGTGAAAGCTGGTAGTGTCCTACTGATTTCAGAACTCACACTTGCATATCAAATCACATATGTAGTTCTAGAAACAAGGCTACAGAGATCAAGTCAAGTTGCCTTTGCAGCAGAGTCAGCAGAAGACTGTATACACCGGGGATTCATTAAGAAGTGTGCTTCCAAGTGGCTCAGCTGCTTTGCATAGGCCAAGTTGGCACCCTCAAATCTTTGTACATTTTTGCTGATGTTCAAATTACAGATAATTAACTAAAACTGTTACTCTCAAAAGGGCCAGTCTTCGTCTGTATCAGAGCTCTGCTTTGCACTGGTGCAGATGAGGTAAAGGGGAACTTGACTTTCAGCTATTTTCAAGTCCCTCCAATTCCCAGGACAGTATAAGCTTTGCTGGGAGTCTTGCTGGCTTGAAAGCCACAGTAACAACACTTTCTGGCTGCACTTCCTCCCATCTGAAATGCTCCTGTATGAGACCCATAGCAGAAGATTTAATTAACTGCAAATCTTCCTGTATCCTTGGCTCAGTGATGTGATTTCATAACAAATTTGGTAAAAAGAAACACGGCTAAGCACAAGGGTTTAGTTTGGCTTCTGAATTCTAGAGGAAAAGCCAGAATTATTGCCCTAGAATCAAATAATTTCTGTAACTGCAATGACCGCATAACTTTGTTGATCTCTTCCACAGTAAGACACAGGTCCTAATGGGATGCATTGGACTGTTTCCTTTCAAATTCAGGGAATAAACTACTCACAATAAGCTCATAGTACCATATGACTTTACTACAGGGAATCTTTCAGATGAATCACTATTTTTAGCCTACATTTTATTCAAGTGTATATTTAGGCTGTTTCAAACCAAACTTTGAACTAGATCTTCAACTGATCAAGTTCATCTGAATCCTCCTTAACCTGTAAAAGGGTTAATAATTTAACACAATACATACAGTTACATAAATTGTTTTGCTATAGGAAATTTGCTCATTAACTTTGATTTCATCCTGTCAGGATATATGGGCAATATAAGCTCTTCTGCCACAAGTTGCCACCCGAACTATGATGAGTTTTAACTGTGCTGTGGTTCACTTCCCTTCATTGTAAAGCAAGAACTACCAAACCTCCCATGCTTTCAACAAATTAGGTCCAGTACATATCTGTCATATCCTTTGATATCTTTTTGTTAAAGTTGTTACATACTGAAAGCAGTAAGTTGTCACTATTTTCACAGTACCATGAATATTCCCTCAGAGCACATTTTTTTTCCATGAGAGATAAGAGATGCTGAAGACCTAGAAGAAGGAATAGCCTACAGTTTTATCAGTAGTACCTATTTTCCCTTATTACTTACAGAACTGAATTGTAAGAAGGAGAAGAAGAATATCAGAAAAAACTGAAGTAGTCTATGTAACAATAACCTGGACTCAGATAATGATAGTAACATGTTTTTGTTATTATGTAAAATCTGCAGTTTTGACAACTTTTCTGTTTTGTTTAAATGTCAGTTTCTCCTGTGCCTACTCACTGTCTCATAAACATCACACTAAAGGCTGCACTGCAATGGTGGCAGCATCTGCACTTTGCTCTCAACTAACCTGAGAGCTGCCAGCAGATAACCCTGACAACACAGAACTTGGCATGGGCTGCAAAACCCCGCTGATGGAGGTGGGCACTCCTGCCCCCAGACCGATGCTTGCACAGCAATACTGCAATTAGCACTGTTTGAGCAATTTAAAGCTGGCTCAGGTGCGTCTACGCTATAGGGCAGATAGAGCTTTCAGAAGGACTAGGAGATACACAACAGCTTGAAGGATTTGAAAAGGAGAAGAGCATGAAAGGCCTGATGAACAAAAGGCACTGAAAAACAAGGAAGTGCATAAAAGAAATCAGACGCAGTCCCATGTGGTATAGTAGACTAGGATCTGAAATAAGCTTATCCACACAAGCTTATCTAAAAAATCAAGCTGATTTTTTAAAATTGTGTGCTAAAACTTTTGCATCAGATCAGAGGGAAACTGCTCTTCACAGTTTCTGCAAGCTCTTTGTGGTGAGAAGGAAATTGGTATTTTCCGGAAACTACTGCTAATTCCCAGGAAATCTGATCTAAATACAGGAAGGGGTAAAGCTTTTGGTGCCTTCAAAGTTTGGCTTGAACCCATCCTTGGAGTGTCAATAGCCAAGTCTGGTGTAGGAACAGGAGAGAAGCATATTCTGGCATGAGAACAAATCAGTCTAAATTAGCATAAACTAGCCTTATTTTTCAGAGCACAAAAGCAAATGTTTGTCTACAAGTTCATCTCCAATCAATTAGCAGCCTGACTGGTGACTCTATCTGAAATGCAAATGACTCAAGACCTCATTTTGTTGTTTTTGCAATAAAGAGCAAATGACAAAGTTAGTTATTTTGTGTGAGACTACGCAGCAGAAGCCCTAATCTTGCCTGACACATTTGCACCAGCTTCGACTCTTCATCCCTACAGCTACAGCATGGGCTTCAGCATGGGCTACCTCCCCTGTACATGCCTGTCCATGCTGCTGACTTCACTGCTGCACTTACCAGCAGCAGAACTAGTTACTGTGCTGCATTTGTGTCTCCCTTCCTCACACAGGTAACAGCCCACCTGTAGATCCAGAGGGGATATTTTTCCCTTGGAGACATTTGTACAGGAAGGAAAACACTGAACATAAGCAAACAGTATTGAGAAGCTGGTGCTCCATATATTCTCCCTGTGCACGGATGCAGGCAAGTCCTGGAGGTAAGGCCAGCTACCACAGTAAGCTCTTGGATCAGTTTGCATTGGAACAAGGGATATTTACTGATCAAACGAAGGAACCATGCCCCTCCATCTTTACCAATTGCCTACATACTTGAACTGCAACAAGATCTCAGAGCAGAAGAACCAAAAGTATCCAAAAAACACGGGAGCCTAAATACAAATTTCAAAAGAAGGCAGGAATGTAGGAACTTTGGCACCTATTGACATGAGATGTGAAGAAGGGAGTTAAAGTTACCCAGTGTCTTTTCTAACCAGAAATTCTGGTTCATCAGCAAGAAAAGCCCCCTATCAGGCAGGTGCTATTTTAGGTGTACTTTTGTGTTATGAATTAAAAGGCTGCCCTGTAAGCTTGTGGTCAGACACTGCTAGTTTCTGCAGTAAATTAGTACATCAGCAGATGGCATTGCAGCCCAGCAGGCCATTTGCTGTGCTCACTGCACACACTCCACGGAGGCATGGGCTGCATGCTGGAGTGCTGTGCTCTGCAGCACAGCTCACAAAGTATAGTTATAGCATTGGCAAGTATTTCCAAACACTTGAGTTAGATGAGTTCCCTACAAATTCTTGCCTACTTGCATCTGCTCCAAGATGTGTGTTTCAAAATAAAATTCCACACATTATTATTCTCTTTTTTTAAATCCCTCTTCAGGGATTCCTGCTGAATAGTTATAATGTCTGGATAGAGAGAACTCAGCCTTCATTTTTTACTGGGCTAGAACTAAGATGAGTCATCTGTTTACTAAATGTCCTTCAATTAAAAAAAAAAAAAAGAGATTTCTGAAGATTAAAAAAAGGAAGGGGTGAATAAAAAGTAATCACATCTTCTATTACTTAATAAATAGAGATATTCCATCTTCTGTCTATAACAATTTACCAGTTCATTCTTTTGAACACTGAATAATTGAAAACAAAACAAATAATCAAAAGAAAGAAAAGCTTTTTACAAACCATTAGTGAATATTGAGTCCAATGCTGACAATCTATGGATTCTTTACCTTGAAAAACTCCCTTATATATGTAACCACATTTTTTAGAGAGACAACATGAAGATTTTGCACTACTTCATTCCTCAAAAGATGAAAGAGTATGGCTAATTCCTCTTTCTTCTAAAGAAAAGCCAAAATGTTAATTCAAAATAGGTCCCAAAAGCAACTGATTGGACTTTACAAAAGGTATTCTGGATCACACATGTTTTTTTTTCCTTACTTCCCTCCTATTTCACCTTATTTCCACCCTTACACCAGCCTGGAGTCTGGTATAACTAGTTAAACAGTAAATTATTCTGCAGTTATTTAGAGTAGATCAAAGACTCTCCCAGCTTCAGGAGGGACTGAGAACTCCGAGTGCCACAAGGCAGCTGCAGGGTCACCACAGCAGGAGCCCTTGCAGGGCTGAGGATGGGTACCTTTGGATTTGGGCAGCTGAATCCTGTGCTGTGCAAGCTCTGACCTGTGGGGTATATATTAATTTGAGCTTTCAGGACTACCTT